GTAAGCTATTCTTACAGAATCTTTAAAGCTCAAAAAAGTACATAAATGCAAAGTTCTTTTCATAATATCAACTATTAATATTTAAATAAATTCAAATATTTAACGAAATTGGATATTTAAACGAAACATTACAGTTTTTAGATACCTAATTATTTTATTGTAATTCAAAAACATTATTCACTCCTAGTTGCAGGGTCATTCGACTTGATATTTGTCATCGACTTGACGACTTCACATTGCTCCTCGAATCGTAAACCATGATTTATTACTATTTATTATAATTACAACAGTCTTATTAAATAATATACAGTGATATAGAGTTATATCGTGTAAGTATTAAATTACGTGTTGTGTGAAATTGTGAAAATTAAACGTGTTAATAATATTTGTGTACAATATAACATTACTTCTATTTAATTAATAATAGATATTTGTTTTGTTTATTGACCTTTTTTTTTTTATGGTCGATCGCGCAACAACCTTAAAAACTCAGAGGTCGATTCCCTTCCTAGTCTTTTAAAATTGGCCACCCCTGTTATATATTATTACAATTGTCTGTGTATATATGTACCCGGATGACTATATACCATGTACACAAGCTTTCTTCCTTATTATTACCACACAGTGAAAACTTTGTAWWGCATGCGGAATAGCATGGGACCAATGAAAAATTCCGATTTAAGCAGTTTTCCGCTTTATTGAATAAAACGGAAAATCCGGATTATAAATTCGTATCAATTTTTCATATCACAAAATTAGTTTATAACATTTATAATTTTTATTTTTGAGTTAGAGACTAATTATAAACTTAATTTAATACTTAACTTTATGTAACTTATTTAGATTAATTAAAGACTTATTTYATGAAATAAATATATTATAWGTATGAAGGTTATTGGGAACTAAATTTATCGATATGATTTCATCATGGAATACTTCTTCTTTGTCATCGTCTTCATCATCTTCAGATATGTAAATTTTTTACTGAATTTACATTTAATTYTTAAAAATTACTTAACTGGTATATATATATTGCAGTTTTATCTTCATTACCGTTTTRCGATGTACCTACATACTCATATCAACGAAATATGACGCTTATCATGTCATATTTTCAGCTAATGCAAGCTTTTTACTTGCATGGGACCTACAAAATCGTTCCGTCTCTGCGTTAGGAAGGTTCCGTTTTATTGAGGTTCAATGTTTATATAAAACTATAGGAACATGTCGGGACCATAGGAAAATTCCGTATTGGATAGTTTTCCGTTTTGTTCAAGGTCCGCATTAGACAGTTTTCACTGTTATATACAATATATGTAACGGTGTCACACGTATACATGTGATTCGTTACATCGGCCATGATGGTCATGGTATATTTTATATCAGTTACCTGCAGTTTACAATTTACCACCTRCAATATAATTACATTAATACAAATACTTGAATCACTTCATTACACATTAATAATTACCATCAATGAAAAATTAATTTTTTTTATCTCGGTACAACGGTTCAGTTGTGAAGTCACCTYAAGACTATAAGCCTTAGTTGACCCGACCGATCCAACTATGTATTTATGTCTAACTCGATTAACCTCATACAGGAAGTCTCATCTATCTATTCCCACCGGTGGGCAGCGTGATCGTATCCTTCATGCAAGACCGTTTCGGTCACCGGGTGTGCATGATGGTGGCCAACTTCACTCACTTGCTGTCCGTGGTCACGTTGATGTTGTCCGGCGGCTCAGTCGGGTTGTACGCCAGCTCAGCACTGATGGGCTTCAACGCGGGATTCGTGACCAGCTTCTCACTGTCGTACTGCGGAGAGGTGTGTGACCCCAAGCTCCGCGGCACGCTCACCGCAGTACTCAACCTGTTCTACTACGCCGGTTACCTGTGCGTGACCATGCTGTACGCAGTCACCGCTGACTGGCGACTGTCCGTGCTGTTCACCGCGATTTTGTCGGTCATCAATGCTGCGATCCTGTTCAAGGTATGTACGTGATATAATAATGTTTTTGCTGTCTWAACGATTAGTCTCCAAATCCAAATGTATTTAAAATCAATTTTTCAAAGTATTATTGCATTCATTCAAAATCAAGTCCAGCTATTGCGATTCGTTTGTTCCGTTTTGTTGATGTGATCACCGGATTACRAGGTCTCGACATCCGCTGAACTCAAAATTCTGATCCACAGGCTAATGGACTTTTGATTCTGAGTGGATGGCTGAAAGTATTGGTTTAATGGTTTTACAATGAAGTGTTTGTGTATCATGTTTTTGTTTTCCCAAAAACAAAAATATTT